TGATGTGCTGGCCCCATTTGAGCCTGGGAGAGCCTCATGGGCTTTGAGCAGGGGGAATGGAGAAGGCCATGCTCGGCTGTGGTGGTCTTCTCTCCATCACTGGTCTCTGATGCTGTCCCCTTCTCTGGTCCCTGGTCGGAGCATCCTCCTATGCTGAGGTGCAGAGGTGGTGCTGTGCAGAGGCCGGGAGAGGCAGGGTTAACCCGGCTCGGCATAGCGAGGGGAAGGAAGGTCCCTTTCCCTTCTGCGTGCCCACATCCTGCAGCCGGGAGCTGCTTGGGATGCACCTGCCTGGCTCCCGGGGCTGTGGGTGTTGCAGCAGCACTGTGCTGGGGAGGGATAATTTGGGAGGGTGAGGACGGAGCTGTGCTGGGGTCCGGCTCTGGGAGAGGAGCTGGGTGTCTCCCTGGCTGGGCAGCGCTTGCAGCCTCGCTGTGGGTAAGTGAATTTGGCAACAGCAGCAGCTTCTCACGTGATGCTCACGGGCGCAGAGTTCATCTCGCAGTTTGTGACTTTGTTGGTTTTTGCGTGGGTCACCTCCCCATGTCTGTGATGCCGGGGTGAGTCCCCGGGAGCCTGGCAGAGTGCGTCTGCCGGCGCGGATGAGGTTGGGATGCCAGCCGGCTGCCCCAAATGCATATGGACACACAGATGCATGCTGGGCTCCTAGCAGAGCGCCGCGAGTCCCTTGGCTTGCAATTGATGGTAGTTAGCGGCTGGCAGCGAGCATGTACAGAAAGGTCAGAGTCTGCAGTGTTTGGGAAATGAGTCACTTTTTGTGTGTGCATACAGTTTTAAGCTAGCCAGGCTCAGAGCAGCTCTGAAGATTTGTATTTGATGGCTGTAAGACACCCCTCTGGGTTTTGAATGTGATGCTTTGCCTTAAATCTCACTTCTTCATCCCACCCTGCTGTCTCTAGGGACACGAGAGGAACTTGGGCACCAGATGTGCACATGTCCCGCAAGGGAGAGGGAAGGGGGCGCTTGTGCTCAGAGGGCTGGATGGGCTCTCTGCAAGTGCGGGCAGTCTTACTGCCTCTGTCCGGTTTTGGGGGGTCGGTTCTGGAAGGCAGTTAACTCCCGAGTTTCCTTGCCATACTGCCCCAGCCACGCAGCCCATGAAGCCAGCAGCTGGAGACAAAGCTTATGGTTTAGGGGAAGGCTTGTCCAGCAGCCAGAGGAAGGCATTTGTTCCGGGTCCTCATCCGTCTCCGCCACTGGCTTCCTCTGTGATCCTGGCCAAGTCACTTTGGTACTTGACGCCCACATCCTCCCAAGTCTGTTCAGCAGTCCCGTCCCAGGGCGTTTTCACCAGTGGCTGGAGCATGCGGGTATTCTGAGAAGGGCAGTAGCTGTTTCGAAGGGCTGGATTCAGGCTCTTTCCAGGTTTTCTGACATTTGTGTGTAAGTCATACTTGTTAACAAGGTGCTGGGAATATGGCATTGGTCTTGGATGTGGCACTGGCCGCGAGTTCAATCTTGGCAGGGGAAGAGTTATCTCCAAAAGAAGTGGTGAGAAAATTCTCGCTTGACTTCCCTTCCCCACCTGCCTTTAAGTTCCTGAGTCATGGAAATGAAAATCTCCTTGGCATACGCCCATGGTTTAGGCTAGAGGGTGTGGAAGAAGCTATGATTGGATTCTCAAAGCCTGTGGTTGTGATAAGAACGTACTGTACCGGAAGAAACAAATGTTAACCTTACTGGAGAGTACAAGGTTTGTTATCTCTAGCTTTTATCCAACTGATACTTGAGCGAAACAGCAGGCTTGTGTCCTGCCATGGCCAATTCGTAATTACCAGCTAATGTGGCGTTTGTTTTCTTGTGCTTTATTTGTAGGTTTGAAAGAAACTTTTGGACTGTGAATTGAGGCATTGGGTATGTAAATTTAAATTTTGTGCTTCCCCTCCTAACCCTCTCCCCGCCTTCCCTTTACCATGTTGAATGAAATGTTTCATTAGACCCAGCTGGAATTTGTTTTCAGGAGAGCAGCTGCTCTGTAGAAAATACTGTACGTTGATATGCCGCTGGGGAAGGAGGAGGAGTTCGGGTTGTGGGAGGAGGTTGATCATGGAGGAATTTGATGCTGAAGATGCATGTTCCAACCCAAACGTCAGATATAGGGAAATGTGGGCTCTTCTGGGTGCTGGTTGGGAGGACAGCTCTGAGAATGGTCAACGGCTGTTGTGTTGGGGGAAGGCTTCATGTTCCTCGACTAACCCAATCCTTGCTCACTGGGAGAGACTGGGCTGCAGTGTGGGTAGCAGCCCAGCAGGTTAGATGAGTTCTGCTCCTCACTGCCACCACCGGGAAAATGTGGACAGGTCTTCTCCAGAGTGGCCACCACCTGGGAGCAGGAAAGTAGTTTGCTCGTGGGTGAGGGTTGGTGCTTCGCTGTGGGCTGGATTTTCCAGATGTTGAAATCCTTCAGCTTCACTTGGGACCTTTAAGACTTGTTTTGATTCCCAAGGCTGGACTTGCAGCCAGCCAGCAGACAGGTGAGGGGGCTGGCTCCTGAGGAAGATCTGAAGGCTGGGAAGCTGTGTTGGGAGCTTCATGGAGATGAACCTGAGGAGTAGCGGTGGTGGGAGGAGTGGGCTGGGGTGGAGCTGCCATGGGTGAGGCAGGGAGAGGAGCCGGTTAGCTAGTCCTCAGGAGGGTCTGGTTGCCTTCGCCTGCCAGCTTGCTGGGTGGGACTGAGACGTGCTAGGTCTCGCTGTCGGCCAAGAGACCTCACTGGGCAGCCTGGCAGGAGCTTGGAGTGGTGCAGGGCTGTTTGCCTTGGGACCAAGGAGCTGGTGCTGTCCCTACCAGCAGCAGTTGGCCATTAGAGCACATCCCAGAGCAGCAGCTGCCTCTTTGCTGGGTTTAGGACAATTGCCTGGCTGCTTCTCTATTCCCATCCTCCTCCTGCTTCTGTTTCAAGCAGACTCGAGATGGCCTCACCGGCAGACAGCTGCATCCAGTTCACCCGCCACGCAAGCGATGTCCTCCTCAATCTCAACCGCCTTAGAAGCCGGGATATTCTGACTGATGTGGTCATCATTGTGAACCGGGAGCAGTTCAGAGCCCACAAAACAGTCCTGATGGCCTGCAGGTGAGAGCAGGGTCCCCTCCCTGCCTCCCATCCCTGCTCCTTTGGCCACCAGCAATACTGCTGCAGCCCTGGGGAGGCTTGTGGGGTTTACAGACAGGGGAACAGAGGCAGAGAAGCAGAATTGAAAGGAGCTGCCAAGAAATTTGTACCTGCAATGGGATTAGAGCTGAGACCTTTCACCTCCAGTGCAGTGCCCACGCCTCCCTCCTCCTCGCGTGCCCACGTCTGCCCAGACACAGCCCATGGAGACAAACAGGAGCACAGCAGGCGTGAGGCACATCCCTGAAGGCTAAGCACAAATGCTCTGAAGGGACAGGACAGGAGAGGGGAGGGAGGGCTGGATGCTCTCTGGGATAAGCAAGTCCTCTGTGACCGCAGTGTCCCCTGCCACTGCTATTTTTAGACCTAGTCCTCCCTGGCTCCCAGGCTGCTGGCTGCACCCACCTTTGCTGGTTTTTTGTTTGGTTTTGGGTTTTTTTCAAGCCTATTGGGGTCTGAAACCCCTTTCCAGCTCCTAGGATTGCTGGAATTGCTTCCTAGTGAACGCTAATTAACATCCCATCATTGCCCACTTGAATTGCAGCAGATGTCTTTCAGGGTCTCCTGCTGACAAGGCATAAAGATTTGAAAAAGCCAAGGTTTGACTATTAAGACATCTGAAAAATATTTTGCCAACATTTCCTCCCTGCCCCCCCCCCC